GGAATGGATTCTCTTAGAATTTAGAGGAAGACCAGATTTGGATATAGTTTATTTGACCCTGCCGAGTCTCCTGTTGACGTTTGATCCTCAATGTTGGGTTACCGGTCCAGATCCCTATGAATGGCTTGGTGCCATTCTCACAGGAGTGAGTTCTCATTTAGTTCCCACAAGAACTGACATTGAAAAGAGCCTGACATCTCTTCCTTTTTCTCTTGTTTCTGCTGTCTTGCTATGTGCTCTCTGCACACCTGGGTCCCCTTCACCTTCCATCCGGAGTGGAAACAACCTGACTCCTTCACCAGAAGCAGATGTTGGTGCCATGCTTCTTGTACAGCCTGCAGAACTATGAGCCAAATAAACTTCTTTTCTTTATAAATTGCCCAATCTCAGGTGTTCCTTAACAGCAATACAAACATACTAAGACACCAGGTAAAAGAGAGATTTGTGTTCATTCCAACCAGTCAATACTCTGATGATACAGAATATTAAGGGAGCTCTGAGTGGGCTTGAGAAAGGGGAGAATAGGAGGCATTCGGACAGAACTGCAGGGGTCACAGATTTCTGGATGTCCAGTTTTTCAGCAGCTGAAGAAATGAAACCTTCATCGTTCTGCAGCATGGGCTTCATTAAGTGCATGGGCTTCAGTGGGTCTGCCTAAGATTTCTAGATGTCCAGCTTTCCCAGCACTTGAAGAAGTGAAACCTTCTTCATCTTCCTGCAACATGCCTTCTATACGTATACCTAAGGTGCTGTGCACACTTTTCTTGATACTATCACTACGTATACAAGTCACCAATCAGGAAGAGTTCTCAAGTTGGGGCCAAGACCAAGATATACAACTCAGACTTGAAGGCCTCTCCTTGAAATTGGTTATTAGCTTTCAAGCAAAAAAAATTATAGCTCTCTGAATCTCTTTGTGATACAATTTAACCCAAAGATTCTCATCTCTGGAAAAATACACATACATGCAACATTATTTATAATTAAAGGCACTTCACAGACACACTTCTGAAAGTCCTAGGGATCTGTGGACTCCCTGTTAAAAGCTGCCACCGTGGAACCATTTTATCTGGCTCAAATTGCTTTTAGGCCTTTCAAAACAAAACAAAATCATTCCAGAGGAGCCCAGCAGAAGGAAGCCAGGCACTGTGGCTTTTACTGACCCTGAACTGATAATTCCTTATTTCCGTTTTCAGCAAAGTAGAGGATATCTCCTTCCCTTTTCTGAGAATCCCTCCCCTCCCTCTTCCCCCAACAAAACAGACGCATGGGCATAAAACCAAAACAGCCCAGCCCAACACTAAACCGCAGGCTGCAGCTCCGCAGGGGCCCCAGGCTGATTGCGGCGTTATCCTTGTGAACCAGGCCTCTCACAAACAAGACCCGGATGCGTCCCAAGTTTGTGTCTGCTGACTGAAGGCAGGGGCATGTGGGTGTCTCCAACTGCCAGGGACAGCCACAAGGAACTGGGACACACTGGGTGGGCTTGGCACAGCGTGAGAGTCAGTATCTGTTGACTGAGGCCTGGCTGCTTTGGTAGAGTCGAGTCTGGGATTTTGATGCATGAAATGCACTACTGACATCCCCTACTTTTAAAGTAAATTCTAGATGTGGAGAGCAGGTATGTTATCAAGTGTCACAACTTGCAGGACAAAAGAATTCTCACATTATAAAATGTGAGCAAATGGGCCGGGCACGGTGGCTCACGCCTGTAATCCCAGCACTTTGGGAGGTCGAGGCAGGTGGATCACGAGGTCAAGAGATCAAGACCATCCTGGTCAACATGGTGAAACCCCGTCTCTACTAAAAGTACAAAAAATTAGCTGGACATGGTAGCACGTGCCTGTAATCACAGCTACTCAGGAGGCTGGGACAGGAGAATTGCCTGAACCCAGGAGGCGGAGGTTGCGGTGAGCCGAGATCGCGCCATTGCACTCCAGCCTGGGTAACAAGAGTGAAACTCCGTCTCAAAAAAAAAAAAAAAATGTGAGCAAATGAGCACCTTTCAATGGTGACAACTCACTCATCCCCACACTCCTAGTTTATTTCCTTCTTTTACATTTATTTTTCCTAATGGGGCACAGGGACTCACGCCTGTAATCCCAGCACTTCGGAAGGCCGAGGCAGGCGAATCACTTGAAGTTAGGAGTTAGAGACCAGACTAGCAAACATGGTGAAACCCCATCCCTACTAAAAATGCAAAACTTAGCCGGGAGTGGTGGCTCACGCTTGTAACCCCAGCTATTCAGGAGACTGAGGCAGGAGAATCGCTTGAATATGGGAAGCAGAGGTTGCAGTGAGCCGAGATCATGCCGCTGCACTCCAGCCTGGGCAACAAAGCAAGACTCCGTATCAAAAAAAAAATTATTTTTCTGATTTCTGTTTTTATCATAAACAGAATATACTCTCACTAAAAAAACTGGAAAATACAGAAAAGTATAATCACTGGGTACTTATAAAATGATTTGATTTTGATTTTTAAAATTCCATCAGCATGAATTTCTTCAACTTCTCGGGGACACTTCCACTGTTTAAATATACAGCATTCCTTGTAGGGGGGGGAGAGACTGTCACCACAGACAAATGGGCCAGGATCCCTTGACCTCGCTCTCATCTCAGGAGCTAAGAATGATGTATTCTATTGTTTTTTTCAAGTTGATGTAAATTTCCTACCATTTATGCCTATTCTCTTTACTTCCTTAACCTGAAAGACCAAAAGAAAAATTTAATCGCTGGAAGCTCTTTTCTATTAATGTTTCTGCTTTGTTGTTTCTGAAGTTTTTCCTTTCAGTCCTCACATCAACCACACCCATCTAGAGACGGTTTCTCAAAAACCATAGTAGGGATTTAGAAACACACCACACTGTTAAATACAGTTGGTCCTGACACCACTAATAGCAGTATTTCTTTTGGTAGACGTCTCACTGACAGTAACCCTTGCAAAACAGAAAAGCCACAAATTCAAAGCATATAAACCATAAATGCAAACAGAGCAGACATACTAATCAGAGGATGGAGTGACAAGACTTCAGAATGTGATTCTCTGTATCTCTGGGTTTTTATTTAGCTTTGAGAGTGAAGAGTTTTTAGAAACAGATTCAGATTATTATTACTTGCTGAGTGAAATAAAATGGAGTAATTTTCCAACCAAGTGTAAAACTTGGATTTAAAATAGCAAAGAAGGCTGGGCTCAGTGGCTTACCCCTGGAATCCCACCACTTTGGGAGACTGAGGTGGGTGGATCATTTGAGGTCAGGAGTTCGAGACCAGCCTAGCCAACACAGTGAAACTCCATCTCCACTAAAAACACAAAATTAGCTGGGCATGGTGGCTCACCCCTGTAATCCCAGCTACTTGGGAGGCTTAGGCAGGAGAATTGCTTAAACCTGGGAGGCGGAGGTTGCAGTAAGCCAAGATTGCACCACTGCACTCCAGCCTGGGCAACAGAGTGAAACTCTGATATCAAAAAAAAAAAAAAGGAGGGAAGCTCAGTTAGTATCTTAGGGAAGAATGAGAGAACCTTCTTACCTGGCTCATGGTAGCAAAGAGCAAACATGAGGTTATTACACATAATAGTGAAACACTGTCATCCAGTGGTATCCCTTTTGTTCTGTGTTTGTTTTCATTATCTCTGAATGCTTGAGCATCTCTGATTTTCGTAGCAATTAGCACATATAGAGGCCAGATCTGATCACTGGATGTAGTGTTTCAATTACAGAGAAAACATAAGTGGCTGGCACATATGTGTGTTTACTGTTGTATCTCCTTGACCTTTCTCTTTAATTTTTTTTTTAAAAGAAGAAAAACAGTGGCTCTATGAGTTTAATAGTTGAATTAAAATGTGGATTCCAGCTTAGGGAAAATTCAAAGGGCTTTAAACATGTGTGACTGTTACCACTCTCCACTTTTAACAAATTTATCTGAATGGTGAGAATCTTTCAAGAGATAAAGTGGTGAACAGCTTCATAGCATCAATGTAGCATTTACTGAGCCTTCACACGTATGAGATGGGCATTTTTAACTACCAGTTCTCAACTCACAAGCAAAGAAAATGAGTCTCAGAGACTAAGTAACTTGCCCAAGGGCAGAAAGATAGTAAGAGGTGAAATGGTATCTGACTCTAGTCTTAACTCAGTCACTTAACCATGGCATTATAGAGCTCAAATGATAAAACCACCCAAAGAAAATGCCAATAGGTCCATACCTCATTTTACACTGACAAAGTGAAGAAAAGCACAAACTAGAAAACTCAAGCCCAGCTTGACTTTTCCACTGGAGCTAGAATGCCACCTGATTCAACCCTAGAACCCCTTATCCAACTGTTAAATACCTTCATTCCTTCACAGCTTTAGAGTCCATCTGTAAGCTAGGGACCCCCACACAGATGCTTCCAGCCTTGATTTCTCACTTGACTTTTCCTGGTGCCCACTGAACACCTTCGCTTCAACGCCTAACAAGATTCTCGAACTTATCCAGATTTGACCAGCGACTCTCCCTCCCCTGAAACTATTGTGGCAGAAGCCCTTTCCATCCAAGATGATGGCACTCTATCTTTCCAGTGCCCCAGGCACAAAACATCGAGTCATCCAACCCTGACCTCTCTTTTCCTTTGACACAGTTTCTCTCATGTTCATTTTACAAAAAGGCAGTTTACCAACATATTTGTCACGTGAATCTTTAAAATGGCTAGTTTCCCTAGTACACTTCATAAGATTTCATTTGAGTATATTTCACCGAATCTTGACTGAGGTAGTCATGTAAGTTTCGTCTGACACAGTACTGTGTAACGTACATACCATGATGTCCACCTACCACTTTATTTTTATGTGATATTTGATAAACACTTATGTGATACTTCTCATCTCTCAGACACTAATGTCAACGTGCTTTACTGCTCATTTAATTAAATAATCATATAATCCTCACAACCCTATGAAGTAGGTTCTGCTATTACCCTCTCAGTTTAAAAGGAAACTGGGGCTCAAGGAAAAATAACTTACCTGAAACTGCACAATTCAAACCGAGGCAGTCTGGCTCCAAAGTCTGCTCTCGTAACCACTTCACCATGTTCCATCCATGAGATGTGCTTTTTTGCCTTGTGAGTTGTTTTCCTATGAGTAGAAACATGTGTATAAATGAACCTGTACTCTCATCTGGCTTTCTTATGGCCAAGACCCACCTCTGCAAAGTGCCTGACATTTCTGGGTGCATATTCTCTACACCCTTCATGGGAAAAGGGCAACCAAATGACAGGATGTCACAAGTCACCCAGACCGGAGTCTGACATGCGACAGCAAACAACTCTGACTCCTCGGGACTGCCTCCCCAAGGCCTGCTCAGACATCAGGAACTTGAAATCAACCAGAAGCAGAACATGTGCACTCCAGGGTGCCTGAGTGTGATGGACGGCACAGCTGGAGGTGCCAGCTGTGTTGCAGACAGCACAGCCCTCCCTGTGTCAATTAGGTTGATGAGTGGTGACTGAGAAACATGTGGGATTTACTCAAATAGATCCTCACTCCCTAACTAGCTGCCTTTCTAGAGATCGTCACAAAAATAATAAGGATGAGATAGTAATAAAAAATAAAAAAATAAAAAAAAAAGGAGAGAGAGAGAGAGAGAAGTGTGCTTTGACTGCCCTGCTGATACTGTGAACTGACCCTGCAAAAACAAAGGGAGTTTTCCTCCTACCAGGCATTTCCTAGGGTATGGCCAGAGTGGACAGATAGCCCCTGTTAACTCTTGAGAGCACATTTCCTTTTGCTTCCAGATAACAAAGTGAGTCAGGGCAGAGCTTCTAGATCTAAGAGATTAAGAGAGGTAGGTTTAAAGCCCAGCTCCACTACAACTTTTGACAAAGTACTTAGCCCCAGCCTCCGTTTGTCTCCTGTATAAAATGAGATGTTACTCCGCCAGACCTTACAGTGTTGAGTAGCAAATTAAGAAAGGTAACATAATATCACGGTTCAGCAGAGGACGTAAAATGCAATGCATGATAGCTATTGACAGTGTTTTTGATAATTTCAGCAACCATAAAAGTTTTCTGCCCTTCAACTGTTCTGAAGTCTGAAGTGGAGGGAAATGTAGGGACATAGAATGAATTCAGAAAAAATATGAGTATTTTATGTTTGGCAAGGATGAGGAAATACACAAAGTATATTTTTGACAGCTCTGAGTTCACATAATAAACAACATTTAAACAACATATAACTGGATTCGTCTACCAAATATGGATTGCCCCAGCTTTATCCACTTAACCATGGCATTATCATTATCCTCTTTTAAAAGCTTAAGAAAAATGGGCCGGGCATGGTGGCTCACACCTGTAATCCCAGCACTTTGGGAGGCCAAGGTGGGTGGGTTGCTTGAGGCCAGGAGTTTGAGACCAGCCTTGCCAACATGGCCAAACCTTGTCTCTACTAAAAATACAAAAAGTAGGCAGCTTCCCTGTAGTCCCAGCTACTCGTGAAGTTGAGACATGAGAATCACTTGAACCCAGGAGGCAGAGGCTGCAGTCGGCTGAGATCCTGCCACAGCACTCCAGCCTGGGCAACACAGTGACACTGTCTCAAAAAAAAAAAAAAAAAAAGGCTTAAGACAAATGTTTTCAGTTTCTAAGGCAAACAGTGAAATAAAGTCTGTTTTCATTTAAAGTATCCCATTTGTTTTTTTTAAAACAGTTAGCTAACTTCAAAAGGCAGCCAATAGAGGGATTCTATCAAGCTGGCAAGGGTCTAATGTCTAAATCCAAAGTTCAGATAGACAGAAAGCCACTGATAGTCCCACTATACTTCTTGGCATTTGGCATGAAAAATGCTTGAGAATGCTGTTTCATTCAGATGGTGTGTTTGCATGGACACACAGCACTAAAATGATACCTTCTTTCAATGAAAGCCAGGGAAAAGCCTGAAAGAGAAGCTTCCAGTGATTTCACCCCAAGCTTAACGCTAACAAGGACCTTTTGGGGGTCACAGCTGAGAGCCCCCATGGGGTATAATATGAGTAGGAGAAATCGTATCTAGATGACAGGGGCCCTAGTGTCATCTTAGTGTCACCATCCTTACGAAGATATGTGAGGCGACTTAAGCTAGATATTACCAAATGTCAGTGGAAGTGGGGTCAGTTATTATAGAAGCACCAGGGGATTTCTGCATGACTTTAAACAAGTCACTTGACCTTTCCAGGTTATATTGCAAATGGAATAAGACCAACTGCCTGCAAGTTTGACAGAGGTTATGACAGGATTAGATTTTCTTTATATACATGTTTGACATCTTTAGCTCCAAAGTACTTTCCTACTAATACAATAAACATGTAAAGACGGTCAAATCAGAGTCAAGTGTTATTCATCTACTAATCACCAAATGGCTTCATTTGTAGGTTATGCAAGCCATTCAGATTAAATAGTGCTTTTCATAATTTCACAAAGATTAAATAGTCTGGTGGCAGTCAAGAAAAGAAAGCGTTAAGAAGTCATCTAGGCCGGGTGCAGTGGTTCACGCCTGTGATCCCAGCACTTCGGGAAGCCAAGGCAGGCAGATCACCTGAGGTCAGGAGTTTGAGACCAGCCTGGCCAGCAAGGTGAAACCCCATCTCTACTAAAAATACAAATAATTAGCCAGGCATGGTGGTGGGCACCTGTAATCCCAGCTGCTCAGGAGGCTGAGGCAGGACAATCAATTGAACCTTGGAGGCAGAGATTGCAATGAGCCGAGATTGCGCCACTGCACTCCAGCCTGGGTGACAAAGTGAGACTCCATCTCAAAAACAAAAAAAAAGAAGTCATCTAGGTCCAACTTCCCTTCTCTCCCACTTGACCCCTTTACTTCAGACACAGTAGCCCAGTGAATGGACCTGAAAAGGCGTGTGGACCAGTGCAGAGGCACAGTTCACTCAGGTCTATTCCCTGAAGACAAGGGTTCCCACCTAGCTAAATCCTACTTCTCCATCCAGCCTGAATAGCTGCTCCTCCCTCAAGCTTCCCAGCACAGCACAATCTGGGAAAGACTCTCTCTGTAATTCACAGCACTTGGTAGCCCCTTGGATTATTTGCTTACTGTTGGTCTCACTGTGGTTTACCTATTACTGATTTTACATAAATATTACACCTTTTCACTCTCAGCATAGAGGCTGTGTCAAAGACTGAGCATCATACTTCTCTGAATTCCTCTTAACATTTTCCTCAAAGCTTTGCACTCAGCAGATGGTCAATATCACTCACATGCACCCACCTCCCAAAGGTTGCACTGAGCCATTAGCAATCTGCAAAGCAGCTTCACATTCGTCGTTGTGACAAAACATCACAAGGAACATTGACCACCCCTTGCCAGTTAGTGAGGCCACTTCAGGGCACCTGTCCAAGTTAGCAGGCAGCCAGCTGGGTTGACAAAGGTTTACATTATGAATGAAAAATTCAGGGGACCTTGAGTTTCAATCCTGCCCTACTATTATCTACCTACAGAATTTTGGCCAACTGTTTCTATTTTTGTTACTGCATTTAGGAAAGACAGCAATAACATTAGAAGTCTACCTCCTGAAAGTGCTAGAAATATGCAAAAGTACATATGACACATAAGCATATATATATTTAATTCGATAATAGAAGATAATATTTTTCTATGATTTGATACTTAACATTTCTTAAATGTCAAATTGCTGGGTAAATGTTATCCAGTGGGGAGGACAGTACCTTGTGGTTTTTTTTTTTTGTTTTTTGAGATGGAGTCTCGCTCTGTCTACCAGGCTGGAGTGCAGTGGTGTAATCTCTTTTGCAACCTCCACCTCCCGAGTTCCAGCAATTCTCCTGCCTCAGCCTCCTTAGTAGCTAGGATTACAGGTGCACGCCACCACGCCTGGCTAATTTTTGTATTTTTAGTAGAGATGGGGTTTCACCATGTTGGTCAGGCTGCTCTCGAACTCCCAACCTTGTGAACTGCCCGCCTCAGCCTCCCAAAGTGCTGGGATTACAGGTGTGAGGATGGCAGCACCTTCTAAAGAATTGTTCAGCATCCGAAATCTCCCTGGATGGTTTAAGGGTCCCTTCTCTCACTGGCTGTCACAGTTACGTCCATGGTTTTGTTTGCTGCACCTTTTGAAATTTTAGGTCAGGTTTCCTGAAAACCTGAGCTGGAGGGAATTGCGGTAGTTCACCATTGAGTAGAAAAAGTAAGGGCAGTACTGAGGGCACAGCTGCAGGAGGGGGAAAACTGCTGGCTTTCCCAAATGACCTACAGAGGGAAACGGCTTCAGGCTTCCAGGACAGAGGTTATGGTTCTAAGCTTTCTCATCCACCTCTGGGAAGGTACACAGAATCCTGGTGTATTTTTCCTGTTTCAGAAAGCACACCTTCAAGGTATGACTTGTCTGTCAAATCTCAATTGGAACAAGGATCTTTTCAAATCTTACTTCATTTTATAGTATGATATCATAATATTTCTTATTTTATACACATTTAATATGCATATAGAAAAGCCGGATACAGCGGCTCACGCCTATAATCCTAGCACTTTGAGAGGCTGAAGCAGGTGGATCAGTTGAGGTCAGGCATTCTAGACCAGCCTGGCCAACAAAGTGAAACCTCATCTCTACTAAAAATACAAAAATTAGCTGCGGCCAGGCGCAATACCTCATGCCTGTAATCCCAGCACTTTGGGAGGCCAAGGCAGGTGTTATTACCTGAGTTCTGGAGTTCAAGACCAGCCAGACCAACATGGTGAAACCCTGTCTCTACTAAAAATACAAAATTGGCTGGGCACGGTGGCTCACGCCTATAATCCCAGCATTTTGGGAGGCCAAGGCAGGTGGATCATGAGATCAAGAGATCAAGACCATCCTGGTCAACAAGTGAAACCCCATCACTACTAAAAATACAAAAATTAGCTGGGCATGGTGGTGCGCACCTGTAGTCCCAGCTACTCGGGAGGCTGAGGCAGGAGAATTGCTTGAACCCAGGAGGCAGAGGTTGTGGTGAGCCGAGATCGCACCATTGCACTCCAGTCTGGGTAACAACAGCGAAACTCTGCCTCAAAAAAAAAAAAAAATTAGCCAGGTGTGGCAGCGCATTTCTGTAAACCCAGCTACTAAGGAGGCTGAGACAGGAGAATTGCTTGAA